AACACAGTAACTGTCTTTCTCTATCTCGTGTTTTCACTCACACTTTTTCATCTAGACACTCACCACGCTAAGTCTCATGGAGAATGGAATCGGAGCTGTTGGAGCACAACAGCTGGCAGATGCATTACGACACAACACAGTAACTATCTTTTTCTCTGAGTCTGTATCATGTCTTTACTTATACTTTTTCATCTAGACACTCATCACACTATGTCTCGTGGAGAATAGAATCGGAGACGAAGCTGATCAGATGATCACTGAATTTCTAGAACGGAATAGTAGCGGAGGACGGTCGTGATCATGAATCTGAATATTAAATTTATTTCGAAGACGAACAAACAGGGAGTGATGATGACGATGTTGCGTTTATTTTTATTATATTATGATATTCGAAAAATCAATAAATAGAGATGCTGATTTTCAAAGTTTATGTGTATCCTAATGATAAATTTTGCGTAGACTTTTCGTTGTGATGAGGATTTAATGTGTTGAAGAAGATAAATATGGTGTTTTAGAAATATTTTGTCATTGTGTAGTATATGCAAAAGTAGACTGTGGTTGTGCATAGCAATATTGAAATTCGAGAGCGTTGTTTTAAGTTGAAATGAGTCATAATAGGTTTTGTAGAGTGGTAGGATGCTTCGGAAGTATTCTTTGGGGTGACCTTGAATTGTAAAAGATTCCTTTTAATAATAGTAAAACTCGAGGAAGTTCTTTTGAAGCGAAATTTTGCCGCATGATAGAGATTTAGAAAAGTTGTGCTCCGATATTGTTGCACCGTAAATTGTGTAGTATCGAACAGCTTGGTGGAAAAAAAATTCTATTTGGTAGTATTGAACTTATAAAGATTCTGTATTCAATACTGCTGAACCATATATGATTGTTCTAGTTTTGCAGAGTCTCTCAAGATTTTGTAGACGGTTAGCGGAATCATCAAAAATTTATTCATAGAATGAAATGTTTACTGTGAAACTATGTTATAACAATGAAAACTCTTTTTTCAAAATAATCTTGTTTTTAATTAAAACCACTATCGCATTCAGTTATGTTATTTGTTTTATACCTGACTAAATAATATTGTTTTGACATCAGATTGACCTATATTTCTTCTGTAATTAAAAGAAGATCCAGTTTTTGGTAGTCGAGCCTAACGATATAGATTTTTCAATTTGAAGCATCATTTAGCTTTTTTCTCTTCCAATAACTTCGGTTGTTTACAGATGACTAATCATTAAATACGATTTTGAAGTGTTTAATACTACATTCGTTAGTCATTACTTCTACTAGAACAGTGTCGTCTTAACGATAAATAAAAACACTATATTGCTTCCACATAAAATCTAAGCAATATCCTCGTATCCTTTTAATCTCAAAAAAAATCTGTAACAAACTTAGAACCAATCATTACAAAATAGTGTTATCATTAAACTTGGTTTCACTTTCATTCTTACCCTTTGGCTGTCGAGATAGAAGTTATTTTCAAATCTTTACTCACTAAAACTAAAAATTGAATTTATATTCATTACAAATATATATAAATGAGTACTATAATGAATATTGTTTCTTTCTCATATCCAGAATGTACCAAATCAAGCATCCTATATAAGATGATTACGCAAAATAATCTTAATTGATACTATACAAGTTCATAAAGTTTCGCATAATCAAGTCAAAAAAGTGATGGTATGTCAAGAAATGCCATTAATATTAATTTCTAAAAAATACAAATCCTTGAGGGTGGGTGTGTGAACATGGAGTATGTAAACGACATTGGAAAATGTGAACAATCTATTAGTTACTGAACGAAATGTCTTTTTATAATATCGTTCAGTAATTTTAAGGGTAGGGTATATCTGAATTTACTACTGAAAACTGTCTTATGCAAGAATTATTCGACCCTTGAAATCGTTTGTGGATTTGAATTTGGGTGTCTCTTCTCTTTATCTACACACATGCATACCCTCAACTGACTCTTTATTCATAATTTATCTTCAATAAGATTCAATGATAGTTCATCATCTCATGGATCGTCATACAGTATATTCCTACTGGCGATGATACTTGATATATCGAAAGCTTTAGTTCTTCTCAATTGTAATTCCCTCGACTGTAGGAAGGGTCTTATGAAATAAAATGCATGTGTTTGCTTGCTTACAACGGCATCAAAGATTTAATGATATTCAAAAGCTCGAAGAACAAATTTTACAGACACTCATCAGCCCAATATATCATTCTCGAAGATGGCCGATCATAAACGCAAAAAGTGTGCTCCAATGATCCTACAAACATCGTTTTATACTGACTAATCAACACTTCAATAGAATTAATTTCTGAAGGACTTTCTGGAAATTTTTAAGACATATATGTGTTAGAAATAGGTATATAGAGGAAGGAAACTAAGCTATTTCTGTGGATGTAAGTGGAATCAATGTGTAGACATGTTAGTCACATCCACTGACACCCTCATAACTGCAAATATACTTTTTATTTGTATCAATTTCAAATTCGAAGATTTTTTGTTTTCCGAGAAAGGATCGATCAAATATCGAAGGATTGTAATTCCTCTTAAGGACATGGTCAAATAATATTCTGACCCGTTCAATAATTTTGACACTTCTATTTATGAATATATATTAAAGAAAAGAAAGTCATTCAGATATCCCTTGAATGGATTATGGAAACTTCGCTAATGGTGAAAGTCTTATTGGCGAAGATTTGAAATCCCGAAATCATCATTCAGAGAATCAAGCAAGAATATGTGTTGTTCATTTTTTTAAAATCGTACATTATAATGTTGTCATCATCAACATAAAATTATTGTAATAAAAAATATTTTATTGGTTAAAGATTGAAGAAGATAGATTCATATATTTAAAAATCAAACTTAAAAAATAAAAGAAACGATTATATGGAGCGAAGAAAACATATGAATAAATAAAATAAAGTTTTTATAATGTAAGAAATTTTTGAACTCGATAAGCGCCGTATTCACTGACGTACATATTCATTGATGAGTCAAAGGCAATACCTCTTGGACCACTTAGTGTAGTTGCTGCGTTCCCAGGTGCACCATTACCAGTTATTGTTATACCATTTGAATTATTCCGGCAGAACAATTGTGTTCGATTGTTATTATAATCAACAACGTATATGTTCAAATAAGCGTCTAATTTGATATCTCTTGGACTATTCAAAAGTGTCGCATTGGATCCAGATACGCCCGCTACACCAGCAATCACAGTACCATTTGAAGCACCTGGCAACCATTTCATAACAGTATGCGCACCACTATTCGTTATGTACATATATTTGCTTATAGTTTCATCATAAAAAATTCCCCATGGTGTGTCTAGTTGTGTACTTGCAATGCCACTACCATTTCCACCAGCAGCAATGGTTCCATCATCTCCACTTGTTGAATTTGCTGGATACCGCATAATGCGATGATTACCACTATCTGCAACATACATATATGTATCTGTTGAATCGAAAGTAAGGTATCGTGGAGAATTTAATTGATACAATGTTGCACCGGATATATTAGTGACTCCAATCATTGTGATTCCATTCGTTGATTCATTAATGTATTTTTGTACTCTGTGATTGTTATTATCACTAACGTACAAGATTTTATTTGAATCAACATAAACACTTTGAGGATAATATAATGTAGTAGCAGTGGCTCCAGGTGTTCCAAGTGTTCCAGCAATAACAATAGGTGTTGTCGTATTTTTCAACAATTTCCATACGGTGTAATTCGTTTGATCTGCAATATATAACGTATCTAGCGAATCAAAAAACATACCAATGAGTCTTCCCGTAGTTGGTGCACTCAGAATCGTAATACCAGTTGTATTCCAACGACTACCATTCGACATACCTATGTTTTACAAACAATTCTATATAGTGACATAAACCAATATTGTCTACACTTACAAGGATCTAAAAATGATGTTGTCGATGATGATGTTGTTGATGATGATGTTGCCGATGATGATGTTGTTGATGATGATGTTGTTGATGATGATGATGATGACGTCGATGATGTTATTGTCGATGATGTTGTTGATGTTGTTGTCGATGATATTGTTGATGATGATGTCGATGACGATGTTGTCGATGGTGTCGATGATGTTGTTGATGACGATGTTGATGATGTCGATGATGTTGTTATTGTTGATTCTATATACGAAATGTATGTATGATTATTTCTTAATATCAATATTTTTTTAAATTTTGTTTTAGTCAGATACTTTCTTCGTTTTATATTAAACTTACCTTTTGTGACTACCGATATGATCAATATATATGATTGATTCAGAAATAGAAATGAACTATTCATATAAAATTCAATTGTCAACAAAGAGCTGTTTAAATTGAATAGTTGGCATGTATTATTTGAATAAAAATAATTCAAAGCAGATAATGATTCATGAGAACGCACCATTTGACAAATACATTCATTGTATGTTATGTTATAAAAGAAATCTTGTTGAATACCAATGTATGCATAATTTTCTACTTTTCCAATTTGCACAGAATCAATGGTAGACAGGAAAAATAGTATAAGAACGAGACAAAATATGTTTACCATAGCACACACTTTTTCTAAATGATCAAAGTCAGTTTTCTTCTCAATTATTTTCCTTACGTGCATCATTCTACCTTTTAATATTTAATGTACAACGGTAGAAATAAAAAAAGAATCTTCGTCTATTATTTCCCGAGTTTCTCTTTATTTGATCACTATATTTTTTTAATATGAAATGTAAACGAAGCAAAAAAAGTATGTCACTATATAAGATACTTTATTTTTTTATAAGAATAGAAATTAAAAAAAACTAAATACAGTCCAAGTGAGAATTTGAACAAAAATAAAATTCATTCATACAAAACAGATAAAAGTGCGAATAAAAAAAATTAAGATTAGATAGCATGAATTTTGCTGTACTGACTTTCGCATCTTGAAGTAAGGCGAAATCCGTGTTTCTCAAGTAAAGAAGTATGGCTCATCCTAAGAATATAATCAGAGAACATTTTTATCCACCAAAAGATTTGAATATTTCATTATTTGTGAATCAGTATCAAACAAAAGAAAATGATTAAAACATCTCTCTCATATTGAAAAACCGTGCTATTGACAAAAATGATCATTTGAAGGGTGTGGGTGAGGGTGTGAGTGCATCTTTTCTTTCCTTATATCCACACCCACACCCATCCATCCTCACCCACACCCTCGGTGAGTGAGGTCCCATAGGAACGTCGACGAATGACTAACTGCTCTCGATAGCCCTTCTCGTTGAGTCAATCAAAAAAAAATCGAGCAGATTTAGTTTCAAATCTATTAACAATCGTATGTTATTTCACAGTATTCATTCTTCTATTGATAAAATGCAGACATCATTTAGGATGGAGCGGCGGCGGTAGTTGCTCATAATAAATTTGAGTAAAATAACTGCAGGTTTCCTAGTCGAGACTAAATGTCGATCTTTTGTTTAAACAATGTTCACTTTTAATTATAGATTTGGAATGACTATTTGCTTTCTTCGTTACATTATTTACTTTTAAGTCTCAATTTTTATTAATAATCAATAAATATTAGCGATAAATTGTGATAAAAATATCAATGAATAAAACATATTTATTTAAAGTAAATAACACAAATATATAAGTAAAAATTCAATTACATGGCACGCACCGATCGAAAAAAACGTTTCAATCTGATTCTTTCATATATGTGAACGCCAGTCTCTTTTTATGTTCGAATGTAATTATCGTTTACATAATCTTTTATCTATATAAAATAGAAAAAAGTATCAAAGTCTTTACAAAATACTGAAGTTTCGAGCGACAATCCAGTTTCTTTAAAGCCTCTTTGCACGTCTAGTAATGTATATAAACTCTTTGTTAATTTTCTCATCCTTTATTCAACGATTTGTCTTTGTAACGCTTATTTCAAGAAACGCAGTCATTGTATTCATTTTCTTTTAGGTGTATACTTGTTCACTTTTATTACCATTCTATTAGGGTATGGGTGTCTCTTCTTTTAGCTTAAACCCTCATCCAAACCCTTTTTTATACTTTCATTATATTTTATTTCAAAAAATAAACCTTTTATGCAGTGTTAAACTTAAGTTTGAATTTTCATATTCTCGTAAACGATAGGTCTGGCACTCTTGGGAATACTTTGATGAACTCCTCAGTAGCTAATTAGTCGGACTAGATCATAAAAAAAGTGAAGGGGGCGGAAGGATCGATAAATGTATTCGTCACCGTGAGCCATCTAGTTTGTATTTGAATAGATTCATCGTTTTACAAAACAGGAGAATGTTTGAATGAGATAGATCTTTTATTCGTTATGTTTTATGTACAGACTGATGATTCATTTTGTCAATAAAATTCTTTTTTTTCTCGTCTCCTGTAAATAAATAATGTCATAGATATAAGAAGACTTGTTATCATTCTCTGAGTAAGATAATAAATTGAGTATTTTAAAAAGAAGAAAAATATGAGCACACGTTGTTTATTTGGAATATTTGTTTTTGGATCAAATTCATCAGTAGTTTATCGATTTGTAACTGATGATTTATTTGCACATTTAAGACAATGTTTTCAAAATCGAGGATATAAACTTCAAGATGATACAACAGACGATAATCAAGTAGAAATATTTTAGTTTATTAAAATTTCTTTTGAAATAATAACTCTAGAGTGATAATAATGACAATGAACTTACATTATCAGTTGATGATGCTATTTCACAACATCTATCTGTATTAGTTAGAGTTCATGAACAAACAGTATCACGTCATGATCCCATACGACGAATAACACTTAACTCTGGTATGCAAGTGTTTTTCGATCAGGTAAAAAAAATATTTTCTCGAATCTTTTTTTCTTATTGAATAAAAATAG